CAGTGATCTTCCCACTTGATGTGAAGGATCTTCCAGAGGCATCGTTGGTGATACCTCTCCAGACTCTTGAGGTGCTGTCAATAGGTCACCCAGGTTTCGCATCCAAAAAAGCATGTAGGAATAATAATTGTCTTATAGACATGGATTTTGGTGTCCTGCCATAGGTCATGGTCTGTGAAAAAGCATTGGAGTAATTTCCCAAAGGAAGCACTTGCACTCTGGATCCTGTGCTGGATCTCACTGTCTATTTTTGTGTTTTGAGAAAGTTGGCTACCAAGGTAGCAGAAGTACATGATAGTCTCCAAAGTCTGTCCCTCGATGGTGATTTGTGGTGGGTCATGTGCAAGGCCTGAAGCAGGTTGATGGAGCACTTTAGTCTTCTCAATATTGAGTGCGAGTCTTAGGCTTTGGTAAGCTTGTGCAAAAAAAAAAAAATCCAGTGTGGCCTGTATCCTCTTAAACTGATTAATTCCCCTTGCTGAGGAAATATTGCTAGAATCTCAGTGTGGTTTTAGACCATCCCGCAGGATAACTGCCAAATCCAGGAAAAGTCTTGGGAGCAAAATCAGGATCTATATATAGAATCATAGAATCATAGAATATAAGGGTTGGAAGGGACCCCAGAAGGTCATCTAGTCCAACCCCCTGCTCAAAGCAGGACCAATTCCCAGTTAAATCATCCCAGCCAGGGCTTTGTCAAGCCTGACCTTAAAAACCTCTAAGGAAGGAGATTCTACCACCTCCCTAGGTAACGCATTCCAGTGTTTCACCACCCTCATAGTGAAAAAGTTTTTCCTAATATCCAATCTAAACCTCCCCCACTGTAACTTGAGACCATTACTCCTCGTTCTGTCATCTGATACCATTGAGAACAGTCTAGAGCCATCCTCTTTGGAACCCCCTTTCAGGTAGTTGAAAACAGCTATCAAATCCCCCCTCATTCTTCTCTTCTGCAGGCTAAACAATCCCAGCTCCCTCAGCCTCTCCTCATAACTCATATGTTCCAGACCCCTAATCATTTTTGTTGCCCTTCGCTGGACTCTCTCCAATTTATCCACATCCTTCTTGAAGTGTGGGGCCCAAAACTGGACACAGTACTCCAGATGAGGCCTCACCAATGTCGAATAGAGGGGAACGATCACGTCCCTCGATCTGCTCGCTATGCCCCTACTTATACATCCCAAAATGCCATTGGACTTCTTGGCAACAAGGGCACACTGCTGACTCATATCCAGCTTCTCGTCCACTGTCACCCCTAGGTCCTTTTCCGCAGAACTGCTGCCTAGCCATTCGGTCCCTAGTCTGTAGCTGTGCATTGGGTTCTTCCGTCCTAAGTGCAGGACCCTGCACTTATCCTTATTGAACCTCATCAGATTTCTTTTGGCCCAATCCTCCAATTTGTCTAGGTCCCTCTGTATCCTATCCCTCCCCTCCAGCGTATCTACCACTCCTCCCAGTTTAGTATCATCCGCAAATTTGCTGAGAGTGCAATCCACACCATCCTCCAGATCATTTATGAAGATATTGAACAAAACCGGCCCCAGGACCGACCCTTGGGGCACACCACTTGATACCGGCTGCCAACTAGACATGGAGCCATTGATCACTACCCGTTGAGCCCGACAATCTAGCCAGCTTTCTACCCACCTTGTAGTGCATTCATCCAGCCCATACTTCCTTAACTTGCTGACAAGAATACTGTGGGAGACCGTGTCAAAAGCTTTGCTAAAGTCAAGAAACAATACATCCACTGCTTTCCCTTCATCCACAGAACCAGTAATCTCATCATAGAAGGCGATTAGATTAGTCAGGCATGACCTTCCCTTGGTGAATCCATGCTGGCTGTTCCTGATCACTTTCCTCTCATGCAAGTGCTTCAGGATTGATTCTTTGAGGACCTGCTCCATGATTTTTCCAGGGACTGAAGTGAGGCTGACTGGCCTGTAGTTCCCAGGATCCTCCTTCTTCCCTTTTTTAAAGATTGGCACTACATTAGCCTTTTTCCAGTCATCCGGGACTTCCCCGGTTCGCCACGAGTTTTCAAAGATAATGGCCAATGGCTCTGCAATCACAGCCGCCAGTTCCTTCAGCACTCTCGGATGCAACTCGTCCGGCCCCATGGACTTGTGCACGTCCAGCTTTTCTAAAAAGTCCCTAACCACCTCTATCTCCACAGAGGGCTGGCCATCTCTTCCCCATTTTGTGATGCCCAGCGTAGCAGTCTGGGAGCTGACCTTGTTAGTGAAAACAGAGGCAAAAAAAGCATTGAGTACATTAGCTTTTTCCACATCCTCTGTCACTAGTTTGCCTCCCTCATTCAGTAAGGGGCCCACACATTCCTTGGCTTTCTTCTTGTTGCCAACATACCTGAAGAAACCCTTCTTGTTACTCTTGACATCTCTGGCTAGCTGCAGCTCCAGGTGCGATTTGGCCCTCCTGATAACATTCCTACATGCCCTAGCAATATTTTTATACTCTTCCCTGGTCATATGTCCAACCTTCCACTTCTTGTAAGCTTCTTTTTTATGTTTAAGATCCGCTAAGATTTCACCATTAAGCCAAGCTGGTCGCCTGCCATATTTACTATTCTTTCGACTCATCGGGATGGTTTGTCCCTGTAACCTCAACAGGGATTCCTTGAAATACAGCCAGCTCTCCTGGACTCCTTTCCCCTTCAAGTTAGTCCCCCAGGGGATCCTGGCCATCCGTTCCCTGAGGGAGTCGAAGTCTGCTTTCCTGAAGTCCAGGGTCCGTATCGTGCTGCTTACCTTTCTTCCCTGTGTCAGGATCCTGAACTCAACCAACTCATGGTCACTGCCCCCCAGATTCCCATCCACTTTTGCTTCCCCCACTAATTCTACCCGGTTTGTGAGCAGCAGGTCAAGAAAAGCGCCCCCCCTAGTTGGCTCCTCGAGCACTTGCGCCAGGAAATTGTCCCCTACGCTTTCCAAAAACTTCCTGGATTGTCTATGCACCGCTGTATTGCTCTCCCAGCAGATATCAGGAAAATTAAAGTCACCCATGAGAATCAGGGCATGCGATCCAGTAGCTTCCGTGAGCTGCCGGAAGAAAGCCTCATCTACCTCATCCCCCTGGTCCGGTGGTCTATAGCAGACTCCCACCACTACATCACTCTTGTTGCACACACTTCTAAACTTAATATAGCCTTCATCGATTTGACAAAACCCTTCAACTCCATCAATTGTGAAGCCCTCTGGAAGATGCTGGCCAGATTTGGCTGCCCTCCAAAATTTATTAAGGTCTTAAGACTTCTTCATGATCAGATGACTGCCACCATTCTCTGTGATGGCCTGGAGACGGACCCTTTCATCATCAAAACTTGGTTTAAGCAAGGATGCGTTACTGCCCCAACCCTATTCTCCATCTATTTAGCAGTCATTTTTGTCCTCGTTAAAGACTACTTCCCCAATGGAGTTGACATTCAATACAGAATGGATAGGCAGCTTTTTAATCTTCAACATCTCTGCTCAAAGTCTAAAGTCCCTCAGGGCGTCCATTACTGATCTTCAGTATGCTGATGACTCTGCCATCCTCACGCACACTGAGAATGTTGCACTCTATCCATCCCGTGTAGACTCTTCTGGTGTGAACTAAAGGTTTCCTCAATTGCTTATGCAATTGACTTGGGCTTTATTCTGTTTCAATCAGTACTGCCTTAAAGTGCACTGGGGAACGTCCAGTGTGCACCAGCAGGCCCTACATGGACCAATTAGTGTACAACACATCAGTGCACTTTAGAAATCACACTCCTGTAGTGCACATTGCTCCTCTGTATAGACATGCCCTTAATTAAGCATCTGCTGAAAAGTAAATGAATTACGATAATTCTTGATAGCTGGTGTCATTCTGGAATACCTAATGAAGAATCAAAAAGAAATACATTTCATGTTTTTGCTGTATTTAAGTGATGAATATTTCTTCACGAAGCATTACATTTCAATATTCAAGGGCAGATTGTGCTAAGATGGAAAGATCCTCAGCTACTGTAAATCGGCCTAGTTCCATGGAGTATTTCACATCCTTAGCTGGTGTAAATTTGTGTAGTTTCATTGTGTTCACTGGAGCTATGCTGATTTGCACCAGCTGAGGATCTGGCACTGAGAGAGGGAGAGGGAGAGAGAGAGAGAGAGTGTGCGTGTGTATATATATTTGGTGGTAAATTCTGCCTTGCCTTTATTCATGGGGGCACAAATTGATGTAAGGGATCTTCCCCATCCTTACCACAGTCTAGCCCTGAATATTTCTATTTACTGAAAGGGAAATGAATTATAAAAGACCAGATTCTCCCACCCTTACTCACATAGAGTAGCACCTTACCCCATGAGTAAGGAGGGCAGCATTGGGACCAAAGTCATTACAGGTAGATGGCATCCACAATTAAGAGAAAATGTATTTGTATTATTATTATTTATTTGCGTTTGAGTTTTAAAATTAATTGAAAATGTTTAGCCAAGTGATGGGGACCCAATTCCATGAGTTAAGGATGTAGCAGTAGAAAAGGTGACCATACCTATGTTGCATACAGAATATATTAGAATACACATAGAAAAGAAACAGCCTACTTCTAAATGTCTACTCAAATTTGTATAACCCTAATATAGCACATCCTTTTAAGTTGGATCATGGCTAAATTAAACTGACTACGGAGTAAATTGCTATTCAGATACAAATATATTTATGTAAGATATTAAATCGGTAGAATCCAATTTGCTTTGTCACTGCACAATGCTTCAATGACCTCCTTCTTTATCTCAAATCCTATCTGTTAAACAGGCTTAGGGCCTTTTGTTCTAAAGCAGGGCAACTGTTCCTTTGTTTTCCTAATGAGCTTCGGACATACCTAAAGAGTTTTCCAGTATTGCAGACATGCCTAGCCCCAGGCATGATAGTTAAGGCCTTCTGCCAGCACAGAAGCTTTACAGATGGATCACATGTGACAGCTTATGCAATTGACTTGGACTTTATATACTAGTGGGACACTGGCATGTAAAGGGCTTATGGAAAGATCTGCACCAGGTCAGGAAAAATGTACTCATCCCTCTAATATTGCTTCTCAAAGTGCTTTGGCATTATAACAAACCAAATTTGATTTAATTTTTTATTTCATTAAGATGTCATCTTGTAAAGAAACCCCCAGAGTTTAGTAACACTGTGTTCTAAAATTTTAGGAACTGAAACTCCACGAAAACTCTGGTAAAATGGTTATTCGTCTGCGGAGGATCACGCCTGGGTATATAAGATTATTGCAGGTATGAAAATTCTCTCTTCTTCCTTTCTCTTTTAATTAGAAGTTTGAAATACTGATATCTGTCTTGCTAAAAGGGATTCTAGTTCATAACATCATGTGACCAACCCAAGAGAACATTGGCTTCTGCTGGGTTAACTTTCAGAAGAACTCATAGAAGTCTTAATTAAGCATCTGCTGAAAAGTAAATGAGTTATGATAATGCTTGATAATTGGTGTCGGTCTGGAATACCTAATGCAGAATATTTGGAAGAAGATACATTTTAAATTTTTAATGTATTTAAATGATGAATATTTCTGAGTGAAGCTTTAGACTGCAATAACTTAGTGTCTTTAAGACAGTAGAAAAATGCTAACGGCAAAGAGAATGACAGCATTCCAAAACAGCTAAAACAGATCATTAATTAAACATGCCTACCTAGTTTGGTGATTTGGATGAGGAAAGCTGGAACAATTATGAGCTCCGGAAGTGAAGTACCTGAAGAAAGAATTCTGCTAATATATAAAATGCCTTTAAATAAGTTTAATACTTGGGAATAAAATATCAATATAAAGCAGATTGGGAATAAAGGCTGTTGGGGCATCCTCCTTAACTCAGTTCATATTTGCAATACTTACATTTTTTCATCAGTGGGTCCAACAGCTGTAACCAACATAACACACATACTCGAAAGCATAAAGTATTATAGCTTACAGACAGTATGGTTGAGCTCAGGATACTGTTGCAGTCATAACAGAAATTCCTTCCTGTTTGCCTCTGACTTGTGATATCTTTATATAGTAATTTTTTGTGTTGAAATCTTTCTTTTTACATGTTAAAGTATCCTGTTGTCTATGACATTTTCGGGATTAGAGCAGCGAACTCTCATTCAAGCATACATACAAAAACTACGGTCTAGGAGCAATATCCTGGCTCCACTAAGTGAGGGTTTTGCCACTAATTTCACTGAGGCCAGGATTTCGCCCTAGGTGAGCAGGGAAAAGAGTACAAGAAATAAATCCCTGAACAGTGCTTAAACAATATTTAATGTAACAAATGGTGCCACTGGAAAGATACGCAGTACATTTTAACTTATGACTGATGTTCCAAGGACTTAATTAATTAATTTCCATGCATTCATTTCTTTGATTCCTAAGAAGATGTATGTACCAGTCAGCTGTAGTCTCCATTCCTTATTCAGACTTTCAGTAAAGAATTAATGTCTAACATTTAAGGAGGTGAGATTGCGTTAGTAGCTGACTTGTAGAAGGGGAGAAATCTTAATATTTCTCAGTACAAGGAGGTTTTGCCTGATATTTTTCAGCAGAAAGCAGAGTCATGCCACATGAAATAATGTGAAGGGGGCTGGGGGGGAGACTGTCTTGGAAGTTGTAAAGTATCAAACTCAGCAGAACTGGCATGTAACTTGTCCTGGTTTTCCCATAGACTCAAGCTGCTGGAAAAATTGTTATCAACACAACAGACATATTGATGCAACGTACAGCTTTGCTCCTAGGAATGTTTGGGATCAGTATATCTGGTTATAGCACACGCCGGCTAACTCAAGAGAAGAGACTCCCCTTGAACCTTTAAACTGATGGAATATGATCCGAGAAATGAAAGTTTATGTCAACAGAACTGATGAATTATTTGTCTCTCCATTATCAGCTTGGAGGTCATAAGACACTTTTTAAAAGCAAGCTGGAAAAGATGGAAGAAGAGTTGTAGATCTCGCCGGCAAAAAAATAAAATAAAATAAAAAAAGACTAATGATTTGGGGAAGCATTAGATTTGCAAGCAAGATGGAGTGTTTGTACATGTGATGGATTTCTGTCAGTATACAGTATGAACACTGAGAGAAATGTAAATGTATGAAGTACAATTAAAATCAGAACAAGTGCAAACAGATTGATGGGGGGGTGCTATGCACAATTAGGGTCACCTTTTTTATTGCTTCTGCAAATCATCTACAATACAAAGCCTTGTTTTGAAAAAGAGGGTTGGAAGCAATATATTTTTAATGACAAGCAAATAGCAAAACACATCCCATAGACTGCTGGCACTGTTTATATATATATATATATATATATATAGCTATGTGTATTACAGAATTTGCAGGAACTTCCATCTAATATTGCATGTTACATCTACAATCCTTTGGCTACCTTTGTCTGGAAATGTTTATACAAAAATATATTCAGATATTCCAGTGTAATAACAAAAAAATGCTGCAGATTATATACCGTGCATATGGTATGAAAAAGGAAGGATAATGCCAAAGCAAATATATGAATGTCTTTATTGGTGTTTTATGTCTTGATATGATTATTTTAAGTCTGGTTTGCTTCTGTGCATGTGGCTGTGTAGCTTTTTAAATTTTCTATTCTAGAAGGGAACAGTACAAATAAAGAATTGTCTCTTGTGCAGAGTTCAACCTGTCTGATCACATTCCTCTGCTTAGCCTCTTGATCCCACAACACATATTCTGATTAAAATAGAACTGGAGTTTGTGCTTTTCCCCTCCCCCTCTTACGTTTCTGTGCAATTTTATTTAATGAGCATTTTACTCAGGCAAGCTCTATAACTATTATTCATTTTGTTTTAACTGTTTCAGAGATTTTGTGCAAACAGCTTTGTAGGCACTTTTATGTGTCGGAGAAAAACACAGTTCTCACTCTCTGGTTGGGTGCAGCAAGTCAGATATGTAAGTAGTTAGTATTTAAACTCTTGTGTTCTAACCTAATAACCAAATGTAATACTATTTTTCTTTTTTCAATGTTAAAAATTATTTCTTCTGTCAACAATATTTATAGTCTGCCACTAAGGGGCATCCTACACAGCTGAATATTTTCAGGTCTCAAGATTGTTCAGTGCAACATTATAAATCACAGAGAGATTCAGATTTAAACCCCCCTGTGCTATTTTTGTTTTTTGTTTGTTTGTTTTCCAGAACCATGTGTGATTAAATTCAAGCAAATTAGAAAATGAGTTTTAGCAGGTCATTTTCCGACAAATTACCTAGCATCTGCTGTCACTTTGTTTCTACTTAAAATATAAAATGAGGTGGTGGAATAGTCCATCTTTTGCCTTCCTTTGTGAGGAAGTAGAGAAAACTTCATCTTTTAGGCAAAAATAAAAGTAATAGTGCGTTTGGAAAATATTTAATCATGTCAGACCTATCGCTGAGGGATTCAGTACATAGATTGTTGCACAAAATGTCTGTATTTCTTACGACTTTCTAATCAATGTACACTACATTGATCAGCTGTATTTTTGTAGGTTTCAGCGTCGCAGCCGTGTTAGTCTGTATTCGCAAAAAGAAAAGGAGTACTTATGGCACCCTACAGACGAACAAATTTATTTGAGCATAAGCTTTCGTGAGCTAATTAATTAATTTTTGTACTGTATCCTGTTTGCCATTCATTCAGCGCCTGTGCAAAGGTGAATATAAGATAACTGGATATTACCACTTCCACTATCTGTGTTAAAATAAAAGCTTTTGCCTAGATACGTGTATCATATATTGGACCTGCTTTTAAGTAGAACTAACACAACAAAAGAAAAGGAGTACTTGTGGCACCTTAGAGACTAACAAATTTATTTGAGCATAAGCTTTCGTGAGCTACAGCTCACTTCATCGGATGCATGCAGCGGACAATACAGTAGGGGGATTTTATATACATAGAGAACGTGAAACAATGGGTGTTACCATACACACTATAAGGAGAGTGATCAGGTAAGGTGAGCTATTACCAATAGGAGAGGGAAAAAAACCTTTTGTAGTGATAATCAAGGTGGGCCATTTCCAGCAGTTGACAAGAACGTGTGAGGAACAGTAGGTGGGAAAAATAACCATGGGGAAATAGTTTTACTTTGTGTAATGACACATCCACTCCCAGTCTTTATTCAAGCCTAATTTAATGGTGTCCAGTTTGCAAATTAATTCCAATTCATCAGTCTCTCATTGGAGTCTGTTTTTGAAATAAGATGCTCAGAAGATATACTACAACTGTATAAAATGGCTACATTGCAGCTATAATTTCAAAGTTATGAAACTCATGAGGAATGTGTGTTCTTTTTCAGAACATTTGCTTTTAATAATTTCGCCAGATTTATTTGGTGCTGATAAAAGTGATGGATTGATTGCACTGGCAACAGACAAGTATAGTGTGGGGAGATTTGACATAAGCATGTGTCTCTAGAACGTCAACAATATCCAGCCATAGGCAACTTATGTGACCACAAAAGTAGTTTTACTATAATCCAAAGTCCCTAGCAGTGCAAAATTAGGGTTGTAGGCAGGCTTAATTTTCAGCATGTTCTTAGGTCCCAATGAAGTAAAAGTGATTTAAGCATGTGCTAAAGTGTCTTGCTGAATCGGGGTACTAATGTGCTGATCTCCTTGCCTCTACTTGAACCTCAAAAAAAAAATTTGTATTTTCGACATCTTCACCTTTTTAGTGTATATGACTTTAAATTTGAAAATCTTGGCAATTCAACAATTCATCAGCAATTTAACACAGAGCAAAAGTGTTGAGTGCTTGTAAGTTGAAGCTGCTTACTTAATACTGTAAAGCTTTTTAGAAACACCAGAGATGTATTTAATTTGGCACATAATTTGTTAGTTTTGAGACATTATATGCCAGGAATTACTTTTTATCTTCCCTAGCTGTGTGAAAATATGTAAATAGCAGAGCTGTATGAGTAAACACGAGACCTTACTCACTAATGTGTGTTAAAAGCTGCTTCACAGAATTTATCTCTTGTTTTTATTAACTCTCAAAGTCAGGCACATCTAAATGAATGTCTCTTGATGCCAAACAATCTTTAACTAAACTAATCCACATTGGTCAGCAATAACTTCTCAAATCTGCATTACAGCTTGATGGTTCAAGTTAATTATTATATTCTACCAGCAGCAACCTCAGAAGATTTTGTAACTGTTTAGTTTGCATGCATAAGTGTATCTCTTAAAGTCAAATGAAATGAAAATGTTAAATAGTAAATCAAATATTTTAATTATTCTTCTCATCAGACAGAGATACTGAGATTGGGAAGGGATCCTGTGGAGAAATACACTGGGATTGGTTTGAGCTATTTGAGATAAATGCTCTAGCCCATGTATATCAAAGAATGTCAAGAAGTCAGTACAGAGACTTGAATAATGTGTTTTACTAATGACTTGTGTTTATATATGGATTTACTGAATATATCTTCTAACATAATGATTCTCAACCTCCTCCATACCTGGACCACCCCAAAACCACCACCTCAGCCCAGCTAGCTGGGATCTAGCTCTCCTTTAGCAATATGGGAAAGACAGTATGATTGCATCTTCCCTGGTACCACTTCACAACCTCTCTCTCCCCCACCCCCCCTGGGGTCACAACCTCAAGGTTGAGAATCCCTGCACTATAATAATGCCGATCTGTAGAGACTCTTGGATATAACAGTAGCTATGCTAATACTTTGCCTTGGAAAGTATGGGCTGGTACTTCAAACGATTGCTGTGGTTGTGTATCTGTGGCAAACAAAGTTGTGAAAGATTTGATCTTGCTTCTATTGAAGTATTGGTATTACCTTAATGGGAGGAAGATTGGGCCCCAAGTATCCAGAGATTGGCTAGGGAACTGCATAGAGACTAAAGGAAAAAGCAATGGAGGTTTTGGAGTTACAGGATATAATTTATATAAACAGCTTGCTAAAATGCTGTCATAAATATAAAGGGAAGGTTAACCACCTTTCTGTATACAGTGCTATAAAATCTCTCCTGGCCAAAGACAAAATCCTTTCACCTGTAAAGGGTTAAGAACCTAAGATAATCTCGCTGGCACCTGACCCAAAATGACCAATGAGGGGACAAGATACTTTCAAATCTGGAGGGGGGAAAAAAGGTTTTGGTCTGTCTGTGTGTTACCTTTGCCAGGAACAGACCAAGGATGCAAGCTCTCCAACTCCTGTAAAGTTAGTAAGTAATCTAGCTAGAAAATGCATTAGGTTTTCTTTGTTTTTTGGCTTGTAACTTTGCTGTGCTGGAGGAAATGTGTATTCCTGTTTTTGTGTCTTTTTGTAACTTAAGGTTTTGCCTAAAGGGATTCTCTGTGTTTTGAATCTGACTGCCTGTAAGATTATCTTCCATTCTGATCTTACAGAGTTGTTCTCTTATCTCTTTTTGTTCTTCTAATAAAGTTCTGATTGTTAAGAATCTGATCGGGTTTTTTGGGTCTTAAAAATCCAAGGGGTTTGTGCTCATCTTGTTTATTCTCAAGCCTCCCCAGGAAAGGAGGTGTAAGAGCTTGGGGGGGCGGTATTTTGGGGAAATAGGAACTCCAAGTGGTCCTTTCTCTGTTCTCTGTCTAAAACACTTGGTGGTGGCAATGTTTTACCTAATCCAAGGACAAAGACTTTGTGCCTTGGGGAAGTTTTTAACTTAAACTGGTAGAAATAAGCTTAGGGGTTTTTTCATCTGTACCCTAGAGTTCAGAGTGGGGAAGAGACCTTGACAAATGCATACACCATAGAACAATTATGCTGAAAACTCAGGAAAGGTAATGAAAAAGATTACTTCAAAGGGGATCCGTGTGGGCTCAGGGGCCTAACTGTGGTACAGTTTGCCTAAGTGATGAACAAATGTGGGAAGAGAACTCAGAAAAAGTATTTCCTGAACTGTGAATCCATTGAAAACAAATTCATGGTGTTCACAATGTTTGTAACTATGATTGTTTAAGTTAGACTCCACAGTGCTCAAATAATAATCCTCATAAAGCTTAAATGGGAAAGTGCACGTTTCCTTCCCTGAATTATGTATATGTTTTCACTATGGAGAAGAGATGCTGCAGTTTGAATAATCAAATCACTTGTCTAAGATATTTCCTGCCCTCCAAACACTGTAGGATTTTAGACTTGTAAAATTGCTATCAAGTTTCTAATTAAAAAATGAAAAGCCACGAGGGAGGTTTTATCTCTGTCAGATGCTTCACTTGTGTAACTATTGATAACACAACAGTTGCCCCAGGGATGATGATGACCCAGAGAGCCCACATGGGCAGTAAACAGGGAGGCAGTATTGGACTAGTAGATAGGGCATTGGCCTAGGAGTCAGGAAAGCTGCGTTCTAATTCCAGTTCTGCCAGTGATCTGTGGCATGGTCTTGAGTAAGTCTCTATTTTGTCTCTCCCTTTTTTTCTTGTCTGTAAAGTCTATAAGTCTTTCAGGGCAGGGATTTATCTCTCACTCTGTGTTTATGCAGTGCCTGGCATGGTAGAACTCTGATCTTGGTTGGGGCCTATAAGGTGGAACTGAAATGCTGCTTTTACTACTACTACTAATAATCATAAAAAGGAAGCCCAGGTTAATATGGACTTATTCTGTGCAGAAGCTTCCCTTAGAAGATATACCTTTGCATGTCATTATCTGCATTGTTAGATGAATAGACTACATCTAAACTGCAGAGTACCTTTTAATGCTTATATAGGTGTTTGCTTTCAGAAGAGTCCTTTGAGATTTTATACAGATTACAGTGATTGCAGGACAAATGGTTTTTTGACAGTGTTTTTGATATTAGTGCTCATCATTTCATGGTCTTTACCCTTTGGTTTAAAAATAGTCAGCAACAGCACCAAGAAATAGAATAAGTGGATACAATTGTCTGTTCTTTTCTATACGATTCTTGTGTTACTGTTCTACAAATACAGTAGTTGAATA